ACACACACACACACACACACACACACACACACAGAGTTACATGTCTGTGTTCTACTTTGGCCATGTTTATCTCAGGACCATTGACTTATTTGCCATCTCAAACTAAGTATGACATCCAAGAGAGATGTCACCTCTGCTTGATGGTTCACTGAGTCCTCACAGAGGTGACATGTGTGGGACATAAACTACTTGTAGTTTCGTCCCCGTTGGGTCTTTACAGAAAGTCACAGAAGAGACACATTTGTATTGAGGAAGGAAGGGGAAGGAAGGGAGGGAAGAGAAAGGAAGGAGGGAGGAAAAGAGGAAGAGAGGGAGGGAAGGTAAGGGAAAGGTATGAAAGAGGGAAGGAAGGGAAAAAAGGATGGAAGGAGGGAGGAAAAATGAAGGAGAGGGAGGGAAAAGGAAGAGAAGGAGGGAAGGAGGGAGCGGAAGAAAAGGAGGGATGAGAAAGGAAGTTTAAAATGAAGGAGGGGCTGGGAAGGTGGCTCAGTGGCAGAGCGCTTGCCTAGCATGCACGAAGCTCTGGGTTCCATTCCTCAGCACCACAGACACAGAAAAAGCCAGAAGTGGAGCTGTGGCTCAAGTGTTAGAGTGCTAGCCTTGAGCAAAAGAAGCTCAGGGACAGTGCTCAGACCAGTGAGTTCAAGCCCCAGGACTGGCAAATAATAACAACAACTATCATCATCATCATAATATAAAAATAAAGGAAGGTATAGACTGTGATAGACAATTTGCTCTAGGAAAGTTAGAATGAACTTGTGACTTTAAATGAGCATCATTATTCCATAATACTGTGAAATTCAGGAAATTATGTAATCACTTAATCACAATCAAAAAAAAAAAAGAACCTGGGGAAGGTAGGGAGGGAAGGGATGGTAGGAAGAAAACAATGGAGGGGGTAACAATGCTCCATAGGAAGTGTACTCATTACCTCACTCATGTAACTGTAACCCTCTGTATAGCATCTTTACAATAAAAAAAATCATAAAAAAATAAAGGAAGGAGGGGAAAAGAAAAAGGAAGGGAAGCAGGAAGAAGGTTTTATCTGCACTGTTGGTTGTGTCTCTGTCAGCTGCTGGCTGAACACAGAGAAGGGCTTCGTGTGGGCTTTCCTCGGCCCGGTCTGCACCATCATCTCTGTGAGTGACTCCTCAGACCTCCTGATACCCATCTGGGCAGGCGCTACGAACACCCAGGGGGGCGGGAATGCCGCAGGCTGGCCCCGGGGTTGGGCTGTGTTCCTGAAACTTCCAGATTCTGATGCTTCCACTAGAGATGGAAAAGACTGCCATTTGCCATGGGTGTTGGGTGGCCTGACAGGAGATCAAATTGCTCAACTTCCACTCCTGTGGGGCTGGGGTGGGGCTGAAACAGAAGGGGCATTCACGGTGCTCCCCTGGTCTCCTCAAGATCAACATAGTGTGCTTTCTGCTGACCCTGTGGGCGGTGAAGAGCAGGCTCTCCACCCTCAGCCGGGACATGTCCATCCTCCGGGACACCAGGTAAGATGACCAGCACCTGTGTGCTCCCCAAAGCCAAACCCACTGTGCGGCCCTGGTGTCCCTTCTCTGCCTGGATACAAAGTTAACAAATGTGCCCGGCACTGGTGACTTCACACCTGTCATCCTGCTACTCAGGAGGCTGAGATCTAAGGATCTCAGTTCAAAGCCAGCCCCAGCAGGAAACTCCCCATGAGACTCTTATCTCCAATGAACCATTAGTAAACCAGAAGCGGAGCTGTGATTCAAAGGATTGCTAGCCTTGAGCAGAAGAGCTCAGGGACAGTGCTCAGGCCCTGAATTCAAGCTCCACAACCAAAAAAAAAAAGTCAACCTTCCATCCATGATCCCACTAACATCCAGTAGGGTGCTGCTAACACCCCCAAAACGTACTGTCCATCCCTGAACCCAGCTTGTGACGCCGCCTCCCACCCCACCCCCCAGCCTACATGTGCCATTCCAGCCAACCATTCCTCCCACCAAACGAAGAAATCCTAACCAACATCAGACCTCCCAGAATGCTTTGCTGGAACGACAGTTCACATGTCAATGTTTAGTGATTCACTGTTTGAACGCACTGTCACCTTATGAATGCAAGGGTCTGGTCTTGCTCTCTCCTTTTTATATTTTAATGTATAAGGTTTGAACTCAGAGCCTTATGTTTGTTGGCTGGTACTCTACCACTTGAGCCATGCTTCCAGCCCTTCTGAGTAGCTTAGGATGACAGGCGCGAGCCACAGGCGCCCATGAAATGATGAGAACTTTATCACGCGTCAGCGTCCTCACAGGTCCACAGGTGTCCCCCCAGGAAAGAGACTCACAGTGTGAAACGTCAT